TATAAAATTATATTATTTATAAAATATTTATTTTATATTTAGCAGTATAAACATATGGTTACAAACCATATGCCCCGCTTGTCCAAAGTACAGTAGATTGTGATATCACAGTGTCTAGCTTGCAGCATCAGCAGGTTTTCAGAGGTTGTTGCAAACTCACTTTTCATTTGGGAACAGAAGACAAGACAAGGGAGTGGTGTCCAGACCCACTGGTATTTATAAAATATTTATTTTATATTTAGCAGTATAAACATATGGTTACAAACCATATGCCCCGCTTGTCCAAAGTACAGTAGATTGTGATATCACAGTGTCTAGCTTGCAGCATCAGCAGGTTTTCAGAGGTTGTTGCAAACTCACTTTTCATTTGGGAACAGAAGACAAGACAAGGGAGTGGTGTCCAGACCCACTGGTTTGTTGCAGCAACCTAATTTGGAGGCACTCACAGGGGATCTATACCTAGTAATTTGCTCAGAATTGAAAAGGTGCTAGAGTTCCTGCAGCTCATCAAGAATACGGCTATGAAAACAAAATAGAAGGGGAATGGGAGAGATTTCTGATAGGAATAATTCTCCCATGCCCACTGCTGTCTGACCTCCCAGAGCTCCCTTCCCCAAGACGATAATCAGTAGATGGTGCAATAATTTCCAGGGACCCCTTATCCCTCAATTGCTGGTAAACGTGGTGATGCTTATATAGATGGTGATATATAAATGACCCCAGGACATAGCAATGTAGTGCAGAAGACCTGATTTACATCCTTGAGTGAAGAAGTTCAGACCAAATAGTGATTCAGCATGAGCAATGATAAATGCCTTTTCCCATCACTCATAAAACTTATTGAGGCGAGTTGGAAGAGCAATGTGACACTGGGTAGTGGGACCACCTGGAGTCAATCTATATGAGATGCACCGGAGAAGAATACCTCTCCATCTAAACCTCTTTGAAGAGGAAACAGCTAACCAAGGCTTTGCAGTATACACTCATTTAGAACAGCAAGTGTTTCATGGAGCCTAGAAACCTAATTGCTCCATGTCCATCATCGGTGACATCTACATTAATTATGTCCATTTTTTGCATAATTAGAGCACTTGTGCAATCGGCAAGGGAGCTAGACTCGCTTCCTATCAGTCTGTTAATTACTTGGCTCTCTAGGCTGTGTGCAAGGTCCCCCCCGGCAGTATGGGGAGAACCAGACAGAGCTCCTTTTTCAGGGGTGACTGGTTCCTGCTCCGACTACTGCGCTGTTAATCAAGAGGGGAAAAGGAGGAGCTACACCAGCCTGCTTGGCACTTTGAATAAAAGTCAGTCCTGGGTATTTTAATGCTTTAGAACCCAAAACATGCTCTTGAACTTGTGTACCTCTTATAGTTTTCTCCCTTATCGATCAAAACTGCTCATAACCTCTGAGTGAGTTGCAATACTAAATCATTTATTTTATTTCTTTAATGCTTTGGGACCCTTCCCTGGAAATGGCCACCATGGAAATGAGGGTTTATTTCCCTTCCCTCACCATGTTACAAGTCTTAGTTGAGAGGTCCACGCTGAAATGCCTGCATCGTCTGAATTGTCTTCTTGCACCCAGGGAAGGATGTAAGCCTTTAGCATGTGGACGGTTTGAGGCAATATCCTTCATGGATGTTAAATTTCCTCAAAATAATTGGAGTGCAGCAAACTTTTCTTTGTAGCATATTTTTAATCCTGGATGTCATTACATTATTGAACTGAGCCGTTGGCAGTGCCAGGAGAGTTTTGTCGTAGCATCGTCTTGCTTTTGTGAAATTTGAGCAAATAATGGTTCGTGAACAGGGGTCTGTAAGAAGCTTGCACTGCCATGAATTGATGAGAGCATTTCCAAAGACATTTTGCAGTAATGATGAGCTGCTGACTCGCTGTGTGCTTGCTTCATTATACGCTAACAGCAAAAGTGACTTTGTATTGTACCTGACTGCAAATGATCCAGGCTGTTGTCTCTCAGCAGTTTTGCTTCAGTATAAGCCAAAACTTGAGCATCAGGTGTAGCTGGCACATTGTAGAGGGTTTGCAGGACATAGGACTGGGATTTAAGGCTTTCCCTGAGTTTTGGACAACCTGCATTGGCCAGGCTGTAACGGGATATAGAGGGGTTACGGACACTTTGAGGGTCATACCTGTGATGCCGGGCTTTTGAAGGTAACACAAGGAGTTACAAAGTGAAGTTAAAATAGAGGGAACTTTTACAAATACTTTCACAGATTTTCCACAGGAAATCTGAAAGCTTTTTATAAAGCATCATGGCCACAAGATGAATGATTTCTTATGTGCAGATGAAGAACACTAAAGCACAAAATAATTGCATGTCCAAACTAGACGCTAACACCGCTGAGGCAAAAAATCCTTTTCTACCTCTGCATCCTTCAGTCGGCAAGATTAAATACAGTTCAGTTTATTGCAACAATGAGCATTAGGGGGAATAACTTGACAACATGTCTCTTCCATTAAAAAGAATTAAAAATCTGAAAAAAAGGTGATAAGGAAAAAAAAAAAAAAAGGAACTCCTCATTAGTTGTTTCCAGGATGTTCTGCTAGTCTCCAGCATGCTAACAATGCCTTTGGGTCATCAGGCTTCTCTTTCTAATACGTCTTTCTCTTCTTTCTCTCCCTGCTCAGTCGATTTTGGGGGTCCAATGTGAAGTACAGAAGCAGCTGAAGTCCTTTGTCACTCTTGAGCGCTTTGAACGGATCTACAGCTCCAGCATCGCCGGGTGCCGGCAGGTCAAGAAGAACAAGAACTTTGCCTCTGGAGGCTCAATCTTTGGCAAAGGTGTCAAGTTTGCCATGAAGGACGGGCGTGTGGCCACTGACATTATCAGTGTGGCCAACGAGGATGGGCGGAGGATCGCGGCCATCCTGAACAACGCCCATTACCTGGAGAACTTGCACTTCACCATTGACGGGGTGGACACGCACTATTTCATTAAGCAAGGGCCGTCGGAGGGTGACCTGTCTATCTTGGGCCTCAGTGGCGGGCGGAGGACCCTGGAGAACGGCGTGAACGTGACAGTGTCCCAGATCAACACAGTGCTAAGTGGAAGGACTAGACGTTACACGGACATCCAGCTCCAGTACGGTGCACTGTGTCTAAACACTCGCTACGGGACCACTTTGGACGAGGAGAAGACCCGCGTCCTGGAGCTGGCCCGACAGCGTGCTGTCACCCAAGCTTGGTCCCGGGAACAGCAGAGACTGCGGGATGGGGAGGAGGGTATTCGCTCGTGGACAGAAGGGGAGAAGCAACAAGTGCTAAACACGGGCCGGGTACAGGGCTACGACGGCTATTTTGTGATCTCAGTGGAGCAGTACCCCGAACTCTCAGACAGCGCCAACAACATCCACTTCATGAGACAGAGCGAAATGGGCAGAAGGTGACAGAGAGGGTCGATGCGGTGACTTCTTGCCAAAGACAGCTACTCTTTTGTGGCCACTTACCTGACTGTGTTGTACTCAATCCTTTTTCTAAACCGAACAAGGCAGGGGGGGAGGAAAATAGAAAGAGAAGGAATAATACAGTTGCACTGTAACTCATGCAACATACTTTTTTTTTTCCTCTTTAATTTGGCCTTCACGCGTTTTTTGCAATGAACAGAAGGTATATTTTGCCGTAGTGTGATCACAGTGAAATTTACTGTCTCTTGTCCTTTTTTTTGTTTGTTTTTTTTTTCCCCCCCTTTGTGAGGAATTTGAAGTGGGGAGTCGTCAACGTACGTCCTTAGGTGTGAAGTGCGAAATGGGTGTCTGTGCTAACTTGTGTCATCCTAACCCTTTCTGATTTGGGGCAGGGACAGATAGCCTTCCACCCGAAACATGGGGAGCCTGCGGCATGTTGGAGAGCTCTTCCTGGGAAGAAAAGGAGATGGAAGACGACGCTGATTCCGATACTCCAAAAGCGACCGTCCGAATCATGTGCCTCAAAAGAGACCTTACAAGTAGTTTTCACGTTTCACTTGGGACATAAAATGTTTTTTGGGGGGCTCCTGCTGAGCAGAAGTAGATTATAGAGGCAAAGGAGCTGATTATATTAACTTGCAAGATGATTCTCTTCCTTCCTGAACTGGAATAAAAAAAGAAAAAAATCAGTCTTTTTTCATTATGAGAGTAGATACTTTTGGGGGTTTTTTTGTGTGTGCGCAAATCCTGGTTTTAGTTAAAAAAAAACTAGAAAAAGCCAAGAAAGGGACTCCTGCTCTATTGAGAAAAGCTAAAATAAATCCTCTCTCTCATATGTAGAGCTGTTCTATAGGTGGATTTAATGCACCCATGTTGTACATTTGCTAATGGCATAACTTCATTAAATGTATAGTGTTTCAGTACACGAGGCTACGTGTTTAACAGTCCACTGTGCTGTATCTGATAAAACCAGTTAATTTTTAGGAAGCTGATTTGAATTTAAAAGTAGTTATAGTATCCCAGTGACATACCACTGAAAATTAGAGCAAGCCAAACCCTGCTTTTCCTGATTCTGGAGCTTGTATTTATTGGCTGGGAAATGCAGTTTTGAGTAGCATGCTGGCAAGTCGTTTATGACTATGGCAGATAAATGTCTCCTGGGGACTTTGGCAGCAGGGATTTTAAAATGTTTAATAAGTAGCAACAGCTTGTGCGTGGTGGGACACAAAGGAGAATATTGGAATCAACCCTCTCACCGTTTCTTACACGAGCTCGAATTAAATGGCGAGCCCAGTTGACTGTTAGCAGTGAAGAAGGGGGAGGTTGAATGGAAATGCCCACTATGGAGGGAACCAAGTGCTTTAATAAGAAACTGCTGACAAAGTTACTCGTCATGTTAATGTAATTTGTATTCACATAACCTCTGTGCTCTGGTATTTGCAAGAGTCCTTGAAATTCAAGGGAACAAGGAGATGAGCTTAGCATCCTCCTCCCTGCCTGAAACAGTCCTGCAGTAGCAAGGGCCGTTCCTGCAGCAGAGGTGTTACCCCACCTCTCGCTGGAGCTCCGGCTGGAGATGGCCAGCCCTGGTCCCAGGCAGATGCCTGTATCACACTGACACCTGCACGCATCCTGACTCTCATCGTGTCTCTCTAAGAACATCTCAGTCCTGTTTTGTTTTGTTTTTGTTTTTTTTATTCCATCCACTTTGGTTTTTGCTTCCCGGTTCTGCAGAGAGATAACCTGAGACAACCAAATCCATGCCAAGGCTGTTTCCTTACTCGGAGCCCTACAATTCTCCCGTGTCCCCAGAGCCAGCTCTTCTGCACTCGTGCCACCACCACTGACATCCTCTTCTCTGCAGCTCTAGCCCCCAAGATAAAGCAGGGACGTATGGTGGGCACACAGTCCTCAAGCACTGAAATGCTGGCAGCCCCAGTTCTGTCGTGGTTTCCCCGTAGATGCCGGCTGCCAGCTCCGTCTGCCTTGCCTGTCTGTTCCCGGGTGCTTGCCAGGAGGAAGATGATGGGATGGAAATTCCCCCAACAGACTGTTCTTCCTCCAGTTCCCAATGCCTAATACCTTTGGCTGCGTGGCCATACCCACTGGTATGGTCCTGATATTATGGTGGTCCCTCCTGCTTGCAGCAAGGGTGACGATGCTGGTGCTGTGTCCTGGTGCTGTACCCTGAACCACCCATTGCATCACCTAACCTTTATTACTTTGTCAGGAGTGAATCGCAAGCAGCTGGGCTAGAAAGGGTACAGAACCAGCTGGGAGGAGATGTGTTGGTTGAGGCAGCTCTAGGCTTTGGCAAGTGAGATGTTCAGGCAGCTGCCTGCCAGGGATGGTTAAAAGGCCGTGGTGTTTCTGCCTGCGTTGCTGGTATCAAACTCTTGGCAAGCCTCCATTGCCCTGAGGATGCGTTGGTGAGGATTAGGAGCAGTGTTAGCCAAACCAGCAGTTGCCACCTACTCAAAGGAGGCAGGACCCTTTTGGCAGGGCTACCCAGCTCCCTGTTTCCCCCTCCCTGAGTCACACCAGGGACAAATCCCTCCCAGAACCTCACCTCAACCTTGTGATGGCTTTGACTCTCTGAAACAGCATGCATGGAGCAAAAAAGACTTGCAGGAAGCTGGGTCAAAAGGTATAAACCCCTGGAGAAGACCTGCAGTACAGAGAGCTCCGTGTGCATCCCACGTACAGTGCTCCCCTCCGAGCGGCTCCGAAGAGAAGTGGTGGTTCTATATCCATCCCCGTCCATGTGTTACAATGCTAAGAGGAGTAGTGCAAGAGTAAATGGGCCACCTTTTCATGCAGCCAAGGAAAGGGATTCGAGTGTGAAATATTCCTACTGGACCCCTGCCAGCCTGAGATGGCACCTCTACAGCCTTATGCAGACTCTTCAGGTTATTACATGAGCTAATGACTTTGAGGAGTTCACCCATTTTTCAAGAGTCTTACTGTCCTGCCACACATGTACGGCGTGTCCTGACCCAGGAGCCATCCCGCTCTGCACCAAGGCAAAGGCAGCCCGGGTTGCATTTCTCAGCATCCTTAAGAACCAGTGGGATGCAACTGCGCCCGTCTGCCTGCCAGGTCAGTGGGAGTCTTTTCCTGGACCTGCACCCAGCATGGGAACTATGGACATTATGTCAAAAAAGGGGGAAAAAAAAATGTGTAAAAGTATATATATGTATGTATTACTTCTCTCTTTATCAAAACCAAGAAGTTAAAAGGGATGGCTGTCTAGTGTTGGGGACAAACCTGGCCAAAGACAGCTACTACGTTCCTGAATCCTCAGCCTCTGTGACAGCTTTCCACTTTACCTAGAAGGCAAAACAACAAACAAACGTTTTCAGTCCTGAAGCCCTAAATTTACCCCTTTGTTAGTGAAAAATGCTTTTTCTTCTACAGGATCTCAAGTGCATTCCGGTGAAAGTTGCAGGAATGGGTTGTGAACACAAAGAGCCATGCGCTCCTCAAGGGACTGCACTCTGCTGTCCACAAGTGTTTCCATTCGGCTGACAGCCCCTTCCCAGCCCTTGCGTTGTCCCATTTGCCTCCCCATGGGGCCATGCCATGACTGCCCGACCCTTCTTGTTGTGCTTGTGGGCGGGGGGAGTGGGTAGCAGATCCTTCCTTCTGTAAGACTGGGAGGTGCTGGGTGCAAATCCCACGGCACTAACCCCCGTATCCCATTGCTCTAGGTGCTCTTTCAAAGACCAGTTGCATGCCAGACCATCTCCAAGAGATAATGTCACTGTGGCCTCACATGCTTCTATGGCTTGACTTTGAGAAGTCGCTCTTTTCTTGACTCCCCAAAAGAGGACTTGCTCCTCCATTGAAAGGAGGTTCCCTTCAAAATGCAAAGGTATAGCTTAAATTACTTTGAATTCCTGGGCTTGTCTCTGGTCCAAAGGGTGGTGGGAAGGATCATGGCCAAGTCTCACAGCTCGGAGGAGAAAGTCCAGCAGTCTGGAGCAGTGTCTGCAGCTCCCGCTGTGAGCAGTGGGTAAGGACCAAGGGCTCAAGCCCTCTATAGCTGGTGCTGGTACCGAAACATGCTCCGTCTGAAGGAACAACAGAGATGGGACCAACTTGCTGTGGCATCCAGACACAAACCCGTGCCATGAGGGCTCTGCAACTGAAAAGCGTCCTGCGTGCTCAGCCTGAGGGAAGAGGAGCAAGACTAATTTGGCGTCGCGAGAAATGCCACAATGTTTGTTTCCTCCAAGCTCTTTGTTTTATTTTATTTTATTCCCTTTCAACTGAAGATTGGAGCTTGGAAAAATCATTAAGCAGCGGTGACCGGAGGGAATCACGCAGCTCATCATATCTTTGTCATCACAGCTATTGATCAGAGCCACGATGAAAATGGGCCAACATCTCTAAACAATACCAGGCAAGAGCCGATGAGATAAAGGTCGTTAAGAGCCCCGATGCTTGATTTGGGTTTAAAAGACACAGATGATTGGGAGCAGTCCCAGAGACACCATTTGGCCGTAACTTAGAAACGGTGAGGGATTTCTGTAATATATCTGTAGTTGCTTTATTGAGTATAGGGATCGGTGTGAGATTCTGCTCAGTCTATTATACAGACAGCGTAACCAGAATAAATCAAAATTGTTTGAAAAAAAAAAAACCTTCTAATAAAGTACTCTTTCAGCTGTGACTTGTAAGTGTCACCGTGATAGATGGCAGTGCAATCCATTATGCAAAGACAAGGCTCTTAACATGAAATTTTAGAATTCAATTTTACGATTTACAGAGAGGGCCCCCCTTGTATTTACGGCACAGCAGTCTGTTTTGATTCAATCTCTGAGTAATTGAAACCGGGGCCAGGGATCTGGGTTAGTCCTACAGCCGCTTTTTAAACGGGGAGGAGAAATAAGTGGCTATATCACGTTAATAATGGAGCTAAAAAGATTGCTTTGCTCGTTAAATCTTATTTGCTTTATCTCCTCGCTCTGGTGGCAAAGCCAAACCTGGGAAATACAGACGCCGTGCCTCCGTGCCGGGGCTGGGGTTTGGTGGGATAAAATTCAGCCGGCAGCATCCTCCATCCCACGGTGACAGTGGCCTGGGGCATTTTTGCTCCTGTTGTTACAGTCCTCCACAGGACATCAAGTTTTTCAGCATTTCTTTTTATTATATCACTTTTTTTACTATGATCACTAAATAGTGAGATATTTGATTTCCCCCTGTTACACTGAAGAATTTTCATGAATTTGGGGGGAAAAAAAAAAAAACCACAGCTTTTTTGTGTTGTTTTTGTTTTTGTAATCTCTAGGTTATATTTAAATAAAATTACTTGCGACTGTAGAGCAAACTAAACAGACACCGCGGGGACACGTAGTCCAGGATCCCCATCTTGCTCATGGATGAAAGGCCATTGCGTGTCCCGGGGACAATTCCCCTGGCCCTTTTCCATCCTCTGCTACCCGAAGTGAAAACAACCCAGCCCACCCGAGGGAAATCTTTTGTGTCTCTTGCCTGCTTTTCTTTAATTACCATAAAACTTTGTGTTCCCGACAAAGTATTACATGGCTCAACTGTTAACTCCCATCTCAGAGGTCAATGC